TGTCCTGGGTCCGTCGGGCACCTCCCGGCACCGGGACATGGATCGCTCCCACCCGCAACCAGCGTCTGTCCTGGGGCCATCGGGCACCAACCGGCACCGGGACACGGCTCGCTGCCCCCCCCCCCCCCCCGACCAGTGTCTGTCCTGGGCCCGTCGGGCACCAACCGGCACCAGGAAAAGACGCTCTGTCCCTCCCCCTTGGCCCCATTCCTACCTGGTGGCTTCAGGGTCCCACACCACAATGTCTGCGTCGGCCCCGGGGATGATGCGGCCCTTCCGTGGGTACAGGTTGAGGATCTTGGCTGCGTTCGAGCTGGTCACGGCTACAAAGCGGTTCTCGTCCATCTTCCCCCCGACCTGCAAACACAGCAGGGGGCTGAGACGGTGCGGCGGGGGGTGTTCTGCTATGGCCCCTCCGGGAGGGCTGGGCAGCCCAGGGGTGTGGGCACTGCTGTCAGAGGGGGCAGGGTCCCCCCATCTCTCCTCTCCCGAGTGGTGCGTCCTGCCCCATCACGCCAGCGGCTGGGAGAGGAAGCTGCAATTGCCCCAGGTCACTTCTAGCTCCCCCTAGCCCCATGCCACAGGGCTAAGCCGGGGATCCAGCACCAGCCAGGGGCTGCCTCGTGGGGTGAGCAGGACCCAGATGCAGACTGAACGCCCACCCCCTATGTTACCACAGCCCCAGAGAGCCAGGTCACACCCCACGGGAATGCAGCCCCCTCTGGGGGGCAGCGAGTAGCGGTGCTCCACCCCGGTGCACAGGGAGGATGGGCTCTTGTCGGGATCGGGCCCCAGGCTGTAGTGCCTCAGTGGTCCGTCTCCGCTGGCAGGGCACGGCGGTCCTGAGAGTGCCACCCGCTAGCACGGCTCCCCACAGCACCAGAGGTGGCCAAGTCCTGGATCCTGGCCCAGCGCGTGCTAGGCTCCTCATGCCCGACCCGCAGCTGTGCCACGTACCACACCCCGCTCCCAGATGACGCTCATGCGGTCTTGCACGCCGCTCACGCCGTGCGGGATCTTGGTGAAGTCCTCCTTGCCCATGGCTTTCTGCTTGCTGGTGAAGGGCCGGTGGTCGGAAGCCACGACATTCAGGGTGTCGCTGCCGGGAGAGAGGGGAGCAGGGGTTACCGGCCCGGTGGCCATGGTGCTGCTCACCCTGAGGGCCCTGGCACATTGATTACAGACCAGCGCCCATGGCTGGGACCTCCCTAGTGCCCGGCAGTGGGGCAGAGAGTGCCCTGCCTGGGGCTCTGACAGGACCCATGGGTCAGGCAGCGCCAGACCTGCAGGATTAGCCCCTCCCCCAGCAGTGCCCGGCGGCCCTCACTTGGCTAGCAGGCTCATGAGGTAGGTGGAGGTGTTGGTGTCCAGCCGCAGGGGCGGCACAGTGACGTAGGCGGCGGCGTGGGACCAGTCCTGGTGATAATAGTGCAGGCCCGTCAGCGTGGCGTGCGCCGTGGTGGTCTCTGCATACACCACCTTCCCTGCAAAGAGAGAGGGGACATGGGGGACGGGGGGATGGGCTCTGGCGCTGGGGTGCGGCCCAGGGCAGCGTGTGGATCGCCTGGAGGCAGGAGTGTTTCTCCCACCACCCTGCCAGCCTCATGGCGAGGCAGCACACGGATCCCCGCCCCGAGGAAGAGACCGTCTGCAGAGCCGTCTGATGGGCTGGCACCAGCCGCCTGGGCACAGGGACCCTGGGAC